AGCAGGAAGGAAAACAACTTTGCTTCCAGATAACGGAGTTTGGTGATGCGTGTTCTGTAGCAGAAGCCCTGAAGATCAGGGTGCCTCCTGCTTCCTGTTCTTCAGGAAGAATTGTATGTGTCATAGAAATTGTCAGTTTAAAATTTGCACTTTTGAATAGGATGTTCTCACCGATTGTTGTGTTTAATTCTCCAACAGACTACTGAAATTGAAAGAACAAGCAAGACTGTTTCTACGTGCTCTTTGTATTTGATGGGATCTTGTAGATTGTAAATTAGTGCTTATCTCTGGTGGTCTGTAGATTTTGGTGGGGCCCAGTGTGATTAAATGTTTTGGAACTTGTGTTCTAACTGGCTTCCTGATTCTTGCATGGGCCATCTTTGGTGCCTGCTTGTTTGGAAGTCTGCTATTTGACCAAAATTATGGTTTTAGAAATGATGCAATAAAAGAATTACCTAGCGGTGTATAGTATCTATTTAACCTTGCTTTTGGGGGGTTGAAAAAGGCACCATTACCAATTTTTGATGTTGACTCTTGTCAAAGAAGTTATTATTGGTGTAATAGGATGCTAGAGGGAGTTTGGAGACAGGATAGTGGTTATTGAATCTCTGGTGGAAGTCCTTCTGGGAGTTCAGGTAGTCACTCTGGAAGTTAAGGACAAGATTAAATTTTAAAATGTAGTTTCTTGTATCGCTTTAAAATTTATTTTGGAACTGTTTTCAGAGTCAACAGACTCTGATACACACTTGAAATAGTACCCTAACTATTAAAGTCTGTGCCATATAAAACACTTAGTCAAATGTTTAACTTAGATATAGAGCTATTGAACATGTGCCTCAGGCTTTGTGAAACAGAAATTATGCATACGTCGTTCAGATACAGAGTTAATGCATGTGCAGTATGTTATAGAGCATAGTGTTTCCTTGAACAAGGTCAGGTTGACACTATATGCTCTTAGAACAGTCACCAAAAGTTAGTAAACATTGGTTGCTGAAATCTGAAAGTTGTGATCGATCTACTCATAACACAATAATGCATACAGAACTTAATGAACGCTTTTTATGTATGTTAAATGCTCTCAGCTTTCATAGTTTTATTATTTAATTTTTTAACTGTTGTTAGAAGTAAAAAATGTTTCAAGAGTATAATGTGGTTATGGTCACTCAGAATAATGTGTAAAATACTGTTTCTTCATGATTGAGAAATGGGGTGGTTTAATTATGATTTTCTGGGGGGTTTATATATGTAAAGTTTTGTTTAAAATAGAAGATCCTTTAAGGAAGGAGGATAACACTCCAATGATTTTCCTGGATTGACATAGGTGAAGTCATACCTAAATTATATTTTAAGAGGGTTTTTTGTGCAGATTTTTTTTTTTTTTTGCCCCAGTTTGACTGGCTCAGTTTCTGCAAACCAAGCCCATGTTATATATCACCTTGCTATTGAATTTATCCTTTTAATTCAGTTCAGAAGTGAGAGAACAATTGTTTTGTGCGATGGTGACGAAAGGTGAAAGCTTGATACTGGATTTGCTGCAACGGTGGTAACAAGGAACGTTCCGTTCACATTTTAAAAAAATAACATGGAGTAGATAAATGCTGGCAGTGCCCTACAGTGGATTGGGTGTGGTTTGGAGAAATTAACTATGAATATTGTTATGATGAATACATGCCAGAGACCCATTAGCTTCAGTAATGGTTTTCAGGGAGTCTGAACAAGCTCAGTGTGAACATGCTGCATGGATTTCCACCCCACCCCCCTTTATTTCCCTCCATGAAAAAGCATCTCCAGCAATATTTAGCCACAAGATAAGTCCTGGGTTATACATGAAACTGAGTACAGGCCTTTGGGTTGAGTTTGTAAGTTTCTGTAAATAAATAGGGACCAGATGGTCCTTCTTGAGGTTAAAGTTCATTTGAAAGAAATTATGTTTCCAAGAAACTCGTGTGGGAAAATGAGCAGTATGGTTCCAGGAACCTGGGAATAAGTTTTTAAAACTTTCATGTTCTATTGTTGCGTCATTGGTTGATTCATTTTATTTTTTTGGAAGAATGCTTAACCTGTAAGTCAGTTTTCCTGTGAAAACTGAGTGATATTTTGGATGCATATTGAAGCTTACATCTAAATTGCTCCTAGGCATTTATTTATAATTTGTAGTTTCTAATCAAGTGAGCTTATAAGTAACAGGATGTATTTTATTAGTTCACTGCAGAGTTCATGCAAAATAATTGGGAGTTTATTTGGGTTTACTGGAATGAAACTTTAATCTGCATTCTTACCAAAATACTTTTAAAGGAGGATGAACGGTTTGAAATGACTTCCCACAATTCAGGTTTCTCCTAGTCTCTTTCCGTCAGTACCACCTAACTAAAGACCTTTGGAGACAGTGTGTAGAGGTTTAATCCCATGGAAGAGTTGTCGTATTGCATGAAAGACCACCACCTACATCCTCTCTGTTTCCTCATATTCCCCCAATCTTTTTGGTTGCACAAGTGAAAGGATTTAGGAGTCCTAAAGAGCAAAGAGCAACTCTTGCCTGGGAGAGGGCTGGATCTTTCTTTTTTTATTACTGTTCCCTGGTTTTGCCTGTGTTGTGTGTTGAAAGCCACTTCTTTACTGTAGACGAGGGAGTGCTGCATTTGGTCTGCAGAGGGTTTGGGAAATGAGATGCTTGTCCTGGTTGCTGCTAGGTGTTATCTCCAATTCCTGCAGACTGTTTCAAGGTTCAGGGAAGTTTTGTTTCCCTCAGTCAGGTACACTGGGATTGAAAGATGGCTTTTCACTCAATTTTCCTTTGTTCCCTGGCCTCAAATTTCCCATGTCTCCTTGCCCTAAACTCCTGCAGAGACTCAGAAACAGGGACGTAAAGGTAAACATGCATTGCAGGACCCCTACTGCTGTTACTGGCACACACCCCCTTTCCATTAGGAGCAAAGCCTGAGTAGTGCAAGAGTGATGTTGCCATGCTACACAGTGAAATTAGAGATGCAGCTGGCCATGGAGGAAAAAACCAACAAAATAAAACCAAAAAACAGTGAAATTAACTGTGTCTGAAACTGGTTGCCACTTCCGTATCTACAAGCTCTGAAATTTTAGCGTGAACTTCATTAATCAAAATAATCTATTTCATAAGACATACAGTAGACATGACTTTAATTAACTTGTGCTCTTCATATTTTATCTTTGTTCAGTCACTGCTTCCATTTTATTATTTTCATACCAGTTAGTCCTTTTTTTTGGCTGCGGACATGAGGAATGTGTATTTTTCCAGTTAAATACGTCACTTAAAGGATTATGAACTTCCCCCTTGTCTTCAGTAAGTTATAGATTTAGACATGTCGTTTTCTTTGAGAATTAACCCATCAGCAGTTGTTGCTTTTTATCTTACAGTAATAAATAAAAAATGTTTATTTCACTGGCAGACTGGTACTACAGTATTGTGTTTACCTTCATGCTGTAATAAACAGAGCAAAGTCCATGGCTAAAAATGTTAATGGTTTCTGTCAATATTTTGAACGCTTGTTTAGATGTTGGTTAAGCTCAAACATTCAGCTTCATGTTGAAGTAGTTCTCTTCCTGAAAACGCCAGTGATCTTCAATAGGGACTTCTGCCTGTTGCAGTACTTTAAGCCTGTAGCGTCTCTCCAGGCAGTCCATAACAAGCGGATACGTTGCAGGCTCAAATTTGTTGGCAAACAGATGAGGTGACTCAATAATCCACTGCAAATCCCCTAGTCCGTAGACACAGATGTCTCTGATGTAATGACCTGCAAAGACAAATTGAAGGTATCTGAAAGCAACAGAAAGCTGAACAGAATCATTTTAAAAAACAGTTTCGCTCTATGGAGTTACTAACAAAAATGACCTTTTGATTTCACATAGAGCATCATTGAAATATATCCGGAGGATAATGCTAGATTTTAAACATAAAGGTGAAGGTTTGGTTTTCTATTTTACACAAAGGGATACATGTTACCTCCAGCTGCTTCACCGACATGTTGCTCTGCTTAATACTGTGTCTTGTAGTTGGGCATGCTGAAGTTCTGATCTCCTATTTCTATTTGGATACCTGTTTAATCATGCAGTACTTTACTGTGCTGAGTTTATACAGTTATGTATTTTAATTTTTTTTGCATTCTTTCCATATGGTCAGCACTATTCTCCGTTTTGATTATTGTTCAAATTGAAGAGATTTAACCCAATGTTGATGACAGTATCTGACAAACACACTTGTCAAGTAAACCCCCTACTCTTCACTGAAAACTGATCGGTCAAGTTAATGCATTGGTAATTAGAGGTCGAAAGAATGGTTGTCAGTATATGAATGCTGTGATGATCTTTGCAAGAATATATGAGAAGCTGTTTAGATTGGATACACTGGAGTAATTTAGCAGCGTGGCTTGCTATTTTATTTGATACTTCCAAAACAAAATATGTATGACCACTGTGGCACATTTAATAGCTAGTTTAAAGCATAATACATAATTTGCAATGAACGCTAGTCAGTGAATGAAATTTGAGTTCATGATCAAAATTCATGTTACCTTTGCATCCTTTGTGTGTAGTTCCTTCTTGATCTTTCCATTTAATGGCTCGTATGTTTCCTTCCCAGTCTGCATTGGGTGTAGCCCCTGGAGCATCTTTAAAATCATAAGGTTCTGATAAGATTTCTTTCTACTCATTACAGGGAAAATTTTCACTGCTGAAGATCTTTTAAATGTAGCCACGTTAAGTATTTATTTACAGATATTTACATCAGAACAGACATGACTCTCAGTTTTATTGTTTATTTTTTTTATTCCTTGAGAGCATGAGCTTTTACACTGAAAAAAACTTACTTTTTTTAATCAACATTTTTCTAGCCTTGTAGCTAATGGTCTACACCCTAAGTAGTACTTTTCTGGAAACAAGCTTTGTTTCTCAGCTATCAGGAGATGTGACTGTTTGAAAGGGCAGCATCAGGGCTGAAGAAATAACCATATTTATGCAATGTAACTCCATTAAGTGGTGGTGTTAAGCTCTGAATTGGAGCTTGCTAGCTGTCTATGTCAGAGCCCTTACAATGCTGTTGGTCCAGGGGTTATTCATAGTAGAAATAGCATATGTCTTACCAGTTAAACGATTCAGTGTGACCCAGTAGTGTTCATCCGGGCTGTACGTGTCTCTTGACCATTCAAGCAGACTTTTTGCACGTGCATCAGTCAGTGTAAACTCCACAAATTCTTTAGTTAGTATGTAATAGGCACTACCAAAATATATTGTCAAATTATAAGGAGGTCTAGCTTTTATAGTCTTTGTTGGATACACGTATGACGTCCCAGAATGTATATATTCTCTGTAACTAACATTTGTCCTGTGTTTCATATGAAGTGGTTGGACTACCCCGGGGGTCATATTTTTACCATTCCATTTACTTTTGATGTATTGTATAATGTCTTTGTTTGTTTTAATGGGATAATCTTGACCACACAGATTAATAACGTAATTCCACTGAATTTTGGAATGAACTAGATCTCTCATGCAATTAATATCAGCTTGTAACCTTGAAAATCCTCCATAAACAACACTTTCTCTTTTTGAGGAAATAAAAATATTTTCAAAGCAATTAACGATGTTTTGTACAGCAGCTTTATAATCTTTTGGTGACTTTTCATCAACATGTATGCAGTAAATATTCTGAGGCATATAAATAGCTCTTAACAGCTTTACAAACATTTCCAGCTCCTTGTGAATTGTGATAATGTATGCCAATGAGAAATTTCCTTCTTCGTCTGACAGTGGTCTTGTGATAAAATGCAGAGTCTTCAAAACCATGGAGCAGTTGCACGAAGTCTGAATGCAGCTGAGTGCTTTAGGTTGGTAGGTATTCTGACAAAAGTTTCCAATTTTACAGGCAGCAGTTTTCCCCACAAAAAGAGCTGAACAAAGTTCATCCGGGTAAAAGCCACACTCTGCTATATTTGCATTCATTTTTTGTTCATTTGGCTTTTCAGAAAGTGTATCCTTTAGGTAGATAAAAGTGCAGATGAACATACAGACAGCAATGCACGCTAAAAATCCTGATTTTGTTGCATCAAGTGGGTTCATCTTTTGTTTTTCAGATACTGTCTTCTCATCATAGTTTAATTAAGTGCTCAGATTATCTGAAAGGAAAAGTGAGATAAAGAGAGGGAGAGAACCTTTCTGACTTTTGTTTTTAATAGAGGACGTGTTAGTGATGCATATATAAATGTTGAAATGACTCTGTTTCCAGTTACTAGGAGGGGCTGTGTGTGTACCCGTGTGCATGCTCATGCTGCAGTGTACTCAGCCACTGGAAATGGTACTTGCAGAGCCATGAAGCAGTCTTTCTAGGACAAACAAAAAAAGAACCCCAAGGCTTTTTACACTACTTGAGCAAGAGCAGGGGCTAGCCCATCGGATAGAAGTTTCTTCTACTTCGAGGCAACGTGTGTGCCAGTAGGCAAGTCCAGTGCCATAGGTTGGTGAAAGTCTAGCTCTGGAATAGGGAAGATGTATGAGCACTGTGTGCTAAGGGAGAGCTGCTGCTGAGATTTCCTTAAGGCCTGGGAAACCTTAAGTTCTGCCAGAGGACCAGAATTTAGTAAATTAAATCAGCAGAAAAATTATTAAACAAACAAAGAGACAAAAACATAATCCAGAAAATACGCTGGTTTTTATCCTTATAAAGTCAGCAAATGTTTCTAACTCCAAGAGGCTTTTTTTTTTTTTCTCTCTGACATCTTTGTATTACTGCTTGGGAAAACAGAGCATGCAGACAGCACTCACTTCTTATTTTTAGCATATGTGCATACCCTGAGATAAGCACGCTACTGCCAGTATTAGCATTCAGAGATAACTGTAATTTACATCAGTATTGGTAGACGAGTTTTTCCTTTGTGATTTTTTTTTTTTCTTATGTATACCTTGTTGAAAAGTCAGAAGAATGAGATTGTAGCAGTCCTGAATCCCACAGTAATTACACAAAGTCTTTATCCTTGAAGCATTTGGTATAGAACTTCCTAGAGAAAATTCCAGGTTTGGGGGAAGGGTCCGTCTACTGTCATTAAGCTTAACAGTTAAATTAAGAAAGATTAATGAAGAAGTTAAAGAGAACTAATTTTCTCTTATTGTATTCATTTAATCTGGTTTTAACAAAATTTGTATTTTGCCTGTAAATATTTCATGCTTTGCAGTGGTCAACATCACAATGTATTTGGGATTACACAGGAACAGAGAGCAAGCATATTTTTCTAAAGGTAGTTTCTTTATAGGAATGCTACTGTGGTTAGAAGGCTCTACATTTTCATTAAAAAGTAGTGGAAAATATTCTTCTAATGAAAACTCAGTACACATCTGTCTTAGAAGCTTGAAAATAGAGGGCATTGTAGTTAAAGTAGAAATGGTGTGTGGAATTTAAAAAGCATTAAAAATACAGAATTTCCACCAAGAGAATGGATAGTCTATAATACCACAACTTTAAAGTCTTATTAGGCTGTTGGGAAAGAATGTATTTGTCTTACTGTCCTTACTGGTATGCACTGGATTTCAAGCTGGAAGAATGCCTCTTTTCCACTTAGCATTCCAGAAAGTGGAGTTCTGTGTTAGGTGGAGAGTTCATCCGTTTTGCTTCTATGTCAGCAGTGCTCTTCAGTCTGCATTGAATGCATAGGCCAAAGAAAAACATTAGGAAATCAGGTCCCAGAAGAATATTTTTTTTCTTCACGGCTCCTAAGGGATAACGTTTACTGGGTAAACAAGCATGATGCGAGTCTTTCATCCATTGGAACGAAAGACTTCAGCAAATCAAATCCACATCAACCTTTCAATATGGTGCAGAGAGGAGGTGAAAAGGAATGCTGCTGAAAGGGGAAAGCCAGGATTTTCACAGTAAAAAATTAAATACATCGGTGCTGTAGCCTGCTACCAGCTGACTACCAGAGCAGAGAATAGATTTGCCTAAGGGCCGTTATGTGCCCAGTAGCAGAAGTTAGGGAGTGTCTGGTAGGGAAGCACTGGTTTTTGTGGACCTGGAGTCAGAAAAAGTGTTTTGTTCTGAGTGAATAATTACAGGAGGAGCATTGAGGTTGCTCTGAATTAGTGAATGTGATGTGGTCTCTATGGTACGTTCCAGGGAAGGTTCATTCTGGCTATAAGAATCACACTGAAGACACTGGGCAGTTACAGAAATATTTGGGACTTTATATCTGCGTACAGTATGAACATCTGTACAGAATGAGCGCACTCATCAGTTTTGTTTTGTTTGGGTTTTTTTTCCCATTAAATACATATTTGTGGACAGGTTGCAAAGGATAGTTCCCTAGGGAACCAAGCTATAATCTGTTCGTTTCATACACTTAAGTTTTTATTATCCTTCAAATAATAGCTTCCAGGGATGTTTCACATTGTTAAGTGTTTACTATGGATTTTTCCTATTGAACTGCATGGTATCTAGAAGCTATATTTTATATGGCAGCATGAAAGTACACAAACACCCCATTATCAGGTAAGAAGAAACAATTCCTTCCCCAGTGTTAACATGTTTCTGGGGAATGACTAAATGATGAAGCCTTGCCTACAAGAACAGAATTTGACAACTTCCAGCTTCAGGGTATGTTATAGAATGAAAGCATTGGCTTTCTGCTAGTATTTTGCTAGATTTAGAGCTAGAATTGCAGCTGTTAGTCCCATCACATATGAAATTTGCCACATAGAAGAATCCTCTAGCCCCTATGCTATTTTCTGCTGTCAAGGACTACGCTATCATATTTCTTCCCGCCCCTGAAGAGCAAGGTACCGTACTGTTGAGAAGACCCACGGTTCAGGCATAACCTACTATATGCCTATCTTGCCTTTTAATGTTTTTATGCAAGAGTGCCATTATAGGTATTTATTGTTATCAGAATGTCTCTCTGAAACTCAACCTTTTCTATGTTATGGATAGGTTTTCTGAATCTGGAGGATAAATTTGTCTTAATTTTTAACAGTGCTGAGAGTAGTGTTTGATGTTCTTCAACCTGTTTGTAGGTTTTGTGGCTGCTTTTACGGATATTACTTAACAGAAAATTGTTGTTGTAAGCCTAAGCTCCATCTCAATTAAAAATGGGTACTCTAGAGAAAAGTGGAATTATGTTCATGCCTGAAAATAAGCCTGTGAAATACCATCTCAGTTCATCAAGACCCCATTAGCTATATACTTTGTTGTGCATTTCATACTAACAAATCATTGTACAGTTCACTGTTTCTTCCTACAAGAGGATTTTGGACTGTATCACTGCACCGCTAAATATTTTACTTTGTCTGTACCCTTTGTATTTGCTTAATATTAATGTTTAGATAAACTTTAGTTTATATGACTTCATAATTCAGTGAAGCAAATTACTTAGGAATACTTCATCTTCTAATAAAATGGTTAAAAGGTATTAACTCCTTATTTCCAAATGTTTTTATGTTGTTTTTTGTCCGAAAGGTGTTTATGCAGGCATTACTGCGGACATTTTATAAGCAAGTGAATCCTCAGTCCTCTAAAAACTTAACGTTAAAACCAACACTTTTAACTGCTTTTTACTTTGCTTTGCTTTTTCCTTAAGCCTGTGTAAGTATGTGGAGTCTGATTCTGTGTTGTGACATGCATCAAGTAAAAGAAAAAATCTGTTCATCAAACCCAATTGATACTGCCTTAGAAATTTTAAATCATTCTTACTTTAAAATATTGCATCAGTATTTGCTGATAAATATTAAACAGATATATGGAGGTTTACCTGTTCATCTTTGCTATTTTTTTCTGTTTTCCTGTTTTATGGTTTTTTTCTTGCATAGTGTATTTGACCTCATAACAATTTAAAACAAATACTATGAAAGCTATTTAAACCATTAAGTTATAGGGCCGTAAAAAAATCAAGTTGCTTGCAACAGAGCATAACAAGTATTCCTCAGTATTGAGATTTTTATGATACAAACACTAGTAGTAGTGACCTCCACCCTACTGTACATCTGTGACAAAGTAAAAAAAAAAATTACCCTTATTGCAGATCTGAGTATTTTTTTAAAGTCAAATGGTCTTTCTGAAGTGAAAATACTTGTCACTTTACAAAAATTAAAGCATGTTGTGTTTTAATAAAGGAAAAGCAAAAACCTGAAGTCCTACAATCTAATTCAGTCTTACCTTGTACAAAATTAGCCGGGAGACGGCAGCATAATAGAAAAAGAAGAGAATCCCATTGTCCTTCAGCAGAATTCAGACAGCATTCTTCATTCTGTCGCTTGTGTAGAGATCTCGTGTAAGTGAAAGGGGTTAAACATTAACGTGGATGTTTTCATTTAAGACCTTGTCAGGTTTCCCGCAATGCTTAGCATATTTATTCTGCATTAATGCTGTTTAGCTTCAGAAATGTCCTCTGCTTCACAATAATGAGAGAAAACTTGAGCTCCTCCAAATTTCTGTTGCCGCTCTCTCTGAGATAGCCCTTAAAGGACTGAAATGAGACTTTCAAATATGTAGAGTACATCGCTAATGATTAAAAATAGTATTGGTTTACCTCAGAGGCTTTAACTTCATGCTGGGTGATGAGAACTGGAAAGGAAATGAGCCCTCTCCTCTTCCTCCTCCTCCTTCTGTTTTTAACTGTTTGCCTGCTGAAACTTTCCAATTTGCAGCAAATAATTATAGCAAAGAATTGCCTCTGCTCGTTTCTAGTAACTGGAAGCTTAAAAGAGAATAAATGAAGTATCTCCTTCTGAAACTCAGTGTTTACTGTGTTACTATTTTATAAAGGTTCTTGGGATTTTTAATAAGTGAAGTTAACAGCTTAAATTTACTGGAATTAGGAAGCTTTGGGGTTCTAGAAAAGAGTAAGGAGGCTGGTGTATTTTGGACACATTCCAATAAAAATAGCATGTTGTTCAGAAAGAAACAGAGAAAAAACCTCAAAGTCCATTAAGGCACCGCTGCAGGTATGGCAGATACAAAATTATGATTGACTTTAAGGGAAGCTCTGTAAGTAGAGGCTTCTGCTTGGACAGTATTTTTTTAGTAGGTGTTACAACTTCTGAGTGAAAGTTCACATTCTGTGAATTAGTAGGTAGGAGACTTTCTGCTCTTGCTAGGTTATCATATATTCTCTGCCCCATTGTATATCTGAGTAGGGTCGCAATGTCAAAAACTGTGTTCATGAAATCTTGCACTACTGAACTTCTAATGAATAAACCTCTGGAAGAGTATCTCTCAAAATATGTTTTTAGGTAACGGTTACAAGAGACAATAATCTTTAATTCATGAGCTTGTGTGGCTGGTAAACGAACGGGGTGTTACAGTCCTTGGTTGAATAGGATGTCTGCTAAATCCTCTTTCTAAACACTACCCTGCTTTAAGAGGGACAGTCAGGTTGTGGTCATGCATGTTCCGTAATCTGGTGGGAATTGTTTTGGAAAAGTATTCATGTCTTTATGCATTTCCTAGTAATGGTCATATTTAGGAGGACTGCAGGAGTTCCTGTTTATAATTTGGGAAGGAGGTTTCAGGTTTCTCATAAGACATTAAACTGCTAACACTGATGTAAACATTTAGATATGAAAACAGTTACCTGTTTATTTGTATTATATTAAGACTGGATGTAGTCATGGAAGGAACTACATCTTCGATGCTGTACAAAACAAAAAAAAAGTCAGAAGTAGTTTATGGCAAGAAATATGGTACAACCATTGTCTTACAGGAAGACACTGCAACCTGCGGAATTCAGGAAATCATCTTAACCTAAGATTTCATTATTACTAAAAAAACCTCATGTATTTTATTCTCTAAGAAAGTTAAGAAGCTATCCTGTATTAAAATTACTTGAAATTTAAAAGGTCTTCATTATTTGAAAAGGTAGTTTCACTATTTATTTTACTAGTTTAAGTTTAAAAGATTCTATTTATGCCTAAGGTAATATGTCTTTTACAGCTCATAATACCTTTATTGTTCTAATGGTTTTAAATCTTCCAGTTGGTTTTGGTTTTTTGTAAAGTTGGGCGGTTTTTGTGTGTGTGTATGTGCACGTCAGATCTGTAGGGTACATAAATTTATGAGTATCAGACTCTGAAGACTTTTTGATCATATCTGCACACCCTTTAAATAATTCCTTCATGCAAGAATGCTAAGCCATTTAGATATAAACAGCTTTGAACACGCTTTTATAATTGGACCCTGAAAGGGCTTTTAGATGAAAATCAAGCTGCTTGTCCAGCATCCCCTTCAGTTAACGTCCCACTCTTCTTCAATTACAGATTGAACTTGCATTTAGATCTGCAAGCTGCTGTTCTAATGCTTTTGTCTGTTTCAGAAGAGTTTTCAAGTTCAGTCTCATTTAGGAATGTCTTCTATTCAAGGTGCTGCAAAAACATCAAGGAACTACAGCACTACTACTATGAATTACCTTCATATGTATTTAAAGGCCCAATATAAACAAGGTACAGCAAGGGACACCTTGCGATAATCATAAAACAAAAATCTGCCCCAGAAGACCTTAATCTGAAGGAACAATCTTTCTGAATTTGCAAAACTGAAATTTCTTTCTGCTTTTTTATCTCAGCATTTCAAAATGTTGAGATAAAAATCTTTCCTTTTTTGCATGAAGGGATAGTGAGCTTTTTAAAAAATCAGAATTAAAGCTTTGCATCCAGCAGTACCAACAATTAAAAAATGTTTGCACGTGTATGATGCAACAAATGGTGCCTACTGGAGTTAGTGAAACCTGGGAAGGTGGAGTTGGTTCTATGCCTGTAACTTGCTGTATAGAATAGAATCA